ACAGTTATCGGTTCTAAAATGACTTCGAGGGTACAAAGGTCAGTTGGCATCATCCCAAATTGTTCATTTCAACCTCTCTTTTCTTTGCTTTTCTAGCACTTGCTAGCTTGCCCATTTTCCTTCATTTCTTTTTTTTTCATCACCCTTTCTTCTCTCATATCTCACATCCCACAATTCCACCTATTTTTTTTCTTTTCTTTTTTCCTTTTTTTCTTTAAGTAAAAAAAATGATTTGATCGAACCCAATGTAGGTTGCCTACGTATCATGACCCCGCATGAATCAGATTTTTGCGTAGCTCTGGAATATCGAGAATAAAGGAAACAAACTAATATTTTTTTTACCTTAATGACTACTCTGACGAGAAAAGGGAAATAAAAGAAACAAATCTCTTTTTTTTTTAATTTTCTAGACTGAATGCTCTATAACCTATTTTAAACCCAAGCTTAATGAGCATGTTTTTTTTAAACAAATACTCTATTAAGGAAAATCCTAGAAGAGAAAACCCTCCTTTTTTATTCATTTTTTTATGAAGAAAATCTAAAGAACAAACCACAGAAAAGTATTTGAATTTTCATTTGATATCCTGACGCAAGATTTCGAAACAAGCAATAAACAAAATAAAATAAAATATTTTTAGATTTCAATTTTGATTGCCTAAAGGAAAAATTCTAATGATAGACAAAAGACAAAGTATGTTTTTTTATGTACAATATTCTAAAGTTCTAATGAAAATAAAAAGAATTTTTTTTCCATTTTTCACTAATTTCCCAAAGAAACGCCTCAAAGAAAATCTTTTTGGATTTTAGAATTAATACCTTAAAGAAAACTTTTAAAGAGGTACTAAAAGAAAATTCTCTTTTTCTTTTTTGAATTTTGGTCCCAATATAGTAAAGGAAATATAAAAATAATTTTTATTTTGATATTAATTGCCTAAAGGAAAAACAATCTCAAAGGAATCTTTTTTTTATTTCTAGAATTAGTATTCTAAAAAAAACTTATAACGAAAATATAAAAACGCAGAATTCCTTTTTTTTTTTTGGATTTTTGACTTGTAACACATTCCAGATGCAAAATAAGAAATGCAATAACAAAAGACTATGCAAACTTAACTAGACAATATAAACTCTAACATCACCTAAAAGACTAAATACTACTATACAGGACTAGAAAATAAAACAAAAACAATTGACTCAAAAACATAAAATGGCTCCTCGAGCAGCTGCTGAATGCAGTGATCCTGACTGAATGGTCCCGGGGTGTATGCCATGCTTAGACTCCAGTAAGTAGACCCACACCTGTATGAGAAAACTTTAACCAACACTTTGTGAGATAATAACACTCCCTATTAGACACATGCAAGACATAATTGAGGCTATTTTTGCAAAATGACTTATTTGGCTAAAAGGTGGCTAGAAGTGCAAAATTTGGCTAAGACCCCGCAAAGCCAAGAACTTAAGATTTACTAGGAAGATCGGACCCTATGTGGGTTGCCTACGTATCCCGCCCCGAGAGACGAGAATCAGATTCGCGTAGTTCGGGCAGATCGGATACGGGCAAGAAATAAAAATAACAACTAATTTAGAGAAAATATTTTTTTTTTTTTTTGAAAAATGATGAAACATGTAAACTCTTTTTTTTATTCCCCCCCCCTTTTTTTTTTGATTTTTGATTTTTGAAAAATGATGAAAAAGTACAAAAATATTTGAATTTTTCAAGCTTTTTTTTTTCTTAACAAAATGTAACAGAAAACATAATTAGGTACCACTCGTTTTATCTTCACACTTCACCCTCTCTTTTTTTTTCTTTCTTTTTTCATTATTTTTTTTTTCATTTTTTCATTTACCCTCAGCTATCATTGGTCCGCCAAATGACCCTTTTACCCTTGAATAAATGCAACATGCAGCACATAAGATGCATCAGGATGGTCTTTTATTTTTTGAGGTATACCTGTCCTAGACGGACCCAACCCCTGTGTTGAGTCCCCTAAGTCAAGTGCACATGACGCAAACAAGCGTTCCTACTAGGGATCCGTCATGAAGCTGAGTTATTCTAGGTTCAAAACCTGGGTTTATTGTTCTGGACTTGGCTTACCCGAGCAGACAGCTCGAGCTGAGGGGGGCAGCGTACCGGGAATACAGAAGCTTCACCGGCTTTGCACCTTGTCCGAACCTCGATCTAAATTTAGAATATGAGTCTAACAAAAAAGAAGTCACACGAAGTGCACACTTCTTAACGATTTAGAAGACTCAGAGAGAAGAGGGATTTCGCAAAAATTTATATACGGTTCACGGAATATCAAAGCGCTAAAAACAATCAATTAGCACATTAGGCCCAAATCATGTAACAAAATCAGATAATGGATAAAGCCAACTATAACAATTATTCTAAGCTCGAATTCTTGAACCCTGAACTAGAGATTCTAGGTTTTATCCCCAGCAGAGTCGCCAGAGCTGTCACACCTTCCTTTTTACCTAAACCCCCGTAAAGGGATGTATATATAGGGAGTTTTTCCAATTAAAGGACAATCGAAATGAGATTTATTTATTAAAAATTCAGAGTCGTCACTTGGGATAATTTATGGTGTCCCAAGTCACCAGTTTAGAATCCCGAATCGAGAAAAAGCTTGACTCTGTATTACAGTCCGCGTACACAAAAATTCGGGTAAGGAATTATGTTAACCCGGGAGAAGGTGTTAGGCATTCCCGAATTCCGTGGTTCTAGAACGGTCGCTCAAATGTTATTTTTGGCTCAATTATTTGATTTTAAAAACACTTTTAGACCTATATGCATTTTAGCTTTAAACCGCTTTTAATTGTTTTAAGGAAGATTTCAACGTCATCTAAAACACGTCCTTGGACCACGCCAAATGAAATGCACCCGCAGTCCGAGACACATTTTATTTAACGCTGTTAAGAATTAAAATTGGATCACACGAAATGCACACCCGAATTTTGGAAATTAGGCATCGTAACTATGTTACGGGAATCGTACCCATAATCACGATGGTTCATTAATCGCGCCTAAAACAAAGCTACAAAAGTTCAACAATTATTTTTCCTAAGTTTAAGATTATTGTAAGGCCTTGAGCTATGGAAAGTATGGAAGAAATAAAGTAAATTAATTGTGGAAAGGTGGTATAGCTTATTGAAGTATATACTAAAGTTATGGAGCTTCGCAAATGGAACTCTTAGTTTAATGTCAAATACAATTCTCCTCTTGAGATCGTAACCCATGACCTATTTACGAACAACAGTTCATAAGAAATCTAAGTAATATTCTAAAGATAATAAAGTAATCAAATCAATCAAGAATCAGAAGCAAAGAATCAATTTCTTCAAATATATCCCAAAACAAAGCAGGAAGCATCATGTATCAAATAGAGCTCATATTGCATTTAACAAACTTATTCACTCTAAACCAATTACTTTAACATAATTAATACCTTGTCCCTCTTCTTTGTGAAGTTATCTAGATTTCAAGGAAAGCTCCAGCAAGAGCCCAAAAGCAACAAGGGACTTGGCTATTAGTAATTCCAAACTTAAATTTTAGATGCATACATGAGGTGATCATGGGTATATAAGTAGAACCAATTTCTAAACAAGTAATAGAAATGTCTGTGCACTTTTGTATATAACATAATTTATGTGTCATTGGAAAGAGAAAAATGTCGTAAACTCAAATCCTTCAGAATAATGCACGAGAAATTACCTTCCACTCTACTGATACCTTTAATAACTTTTTATAGTTAATTAAATAACACTCAATCTCTTTACACTATCATTATTTAGTCCTGTGGTTCTTTTGAAATTGACCATGACTCCATTTTCTTTCATGCTCCAACCCACAGTGTCAATGCGACGAGTAGCGCCGGCCTCATTAAACTCAAACATCAAACATAAAGTCAATACAACTCCAATCATTAACCATAAAACCAGACAGATCCAAGCTAGAATTCAAACTCAAATATTCAGATTTAAACACTTAGCAAAGCAATTAAATGAAGAAGATCTAGTAGTCAATCCCAATAATTCCAAAAATTCGCCTATTAGGCTAAAATACAGGTTCGAAAGTAACAATACCTGGACAGTAGCGAAACAGGCAAAATAGAATCAAACAAAGGTGAAGAAGAAACTAGAAAGTTCAGCTACGCGGACTCAGCAGAACATCAACGACAGTTCCAGCGACCAAACAAAACTTCTTCAACCCAAATGTCACTCGAAATTCCAAAAAAAAAAAAAAAAAACTGAAGCAAAAGAGCAGAAATTCGAATAGCCTTCAAACCCTTTATTTTCTGCTTTTTCATTCATTTTTCTTTTGAATCTGTCCATTTCTCTTGTATGTGTTTTTTTTTAATTTGATGGAAAGAAGATGATGAAGGTGAGGGAGAGGAGTAACGGCGCTGATTAATTTTTGGAGGGACTCTCTTTCGCCATTTGTTCGCTCCTGGAAAAGGAAAGAATTAAGGTGCTCTAGGTTGGGCAAAATGGGGGTTCTGTTATCTGGGGTTGATGGTGAGATCAAGAACCAGATCGAGGGGGGAGTCTCCTTAGTCTCTGCGGCTATCAGTTGATTCTTAGGCGCCCTCCTTATTAGATTTTTTTTGAGGTATCTTCTTTATATAGAGTCTAGGTTTTGGTAGGGTTTTTAGGTTAAGGGGTATGAGTCTAGGAATTATGGGCTAAGTTCAAAATTAGGCCTAAAAATGGATTGCTCGAACCCAAGTTCTATCCTTTCCCCGCGAACAAGACTAAAAATACGATCTCAATTATTAATTAGTCCTACTTAAGTAAAATAGCTGTTAAAATAAGACTGGCCTTTAAAATAAATTATTTTTTTTTTTGGTATTTTTCAATATTAAAAATGACTACAAAACATTAATGGAATAATTTTTGTAATTTTCATTTTTCTTGTAATAAAATAAAGTAAAAGAGTAAAATTAATCAAAATAGTTGTATTATGCCTAAATTAAATATTTTACGCTAAAATATAAAAAATCTTGGGAGGGTCAAAAAATCACATGTCTACAGTCACAGAGTGAGAAACCACATTGTTGCCGACATACATACTCAACAATCAATTACCGGGACGTAACAGCCGAGAAGATTCATTGCTACTGGGGGTGCAGTGCGGTACTTTCTTACTCCATCCCTTCTATACCATTGCCTAGGTCTTTTCCTTTTGATTGGTGTGTTTGCTGCAGCAGAGAAAGCAATCATTGGATGCATATGATCTCAAGCAGTTAAACATTATCGTCATATCTGCATGACGACATCTTCCATCACCGAGGTCACGCTTGGCACCATCTATTTAGTGCAGATGAATGTGCACGGTGCTAGGACACTCTGCTTCTTTAGCTGTTTTAATTTGAGGCTGTGAAAAGCGTTGTCATGTCCCAAAAACGGAAATATTTGCTGTCGTCTTGCAAAGCAGCATATTATAGCAATCTCTGCTGCAATTCAGGTAGTAGTTTATGACCCACCGAAGTTATGTCTCCTGAAAGAAGATATCAAAATCAGTCTCATAATAAGAAGCCAAAGATTCTTGTGCCTTTTTCTATTGCTTATTTCTTTTCTTTTCCTTTTCCATCTCGGCTAAGAATGGCCTCCCTAGACAACGGACTACTGTTATACAAGGGCTTTCAGAGTCGTATAAAACAGAATGTTCACCTGCTCCTAAAGTCAAGATAACAGTTTCATGATCGGGATCCTTGGATATCTGATCAACCAGCTTTTCCAGCACTTGTATCTGGTATGTTCACAGCATAAAAAAGGGGAAATTAGAAGAAAGGTTAACTTAACCAAGATGAACCATAAGCTGCCACTGACAATTCAAGCTGACTAGTCCAGAAAACATTGTAAATATTGGTTATCATGAAAAGAATTTTCCATTTATTAATTAGACCAAAGAGAATTTTGAAGGGGAGCCTTGGAGCAATGGTAAAATTGTCGGTCACGGGTTCGAGCTGTAGAAGCAGCCAGTAATGCATGCATTAGAGTAGGCAGTCTACATCACACCCCTTGGGTGTGGCCCTTCCCAGACCCCGCGTGAATGCGGGATATTTTGTTCATCAGGCTGTCCTTTTTTAAAGTAGGAACTCAAGTACTTACTGGAAGACTGACTTGTTCTCATATCCAAATAATTAGTGACTACAAGGAGAGGACAACAAATTTTTTGAGGTAACTACAACATTTACAACCGTGAGGAAGTTTTCTTAGTTGCAGAGAGTTCCGTACCAGGGTAGGGATAAACTCAGATGGTGGGCCAACTATAGACATTGCAAGATCCCTTCCACTGATCTTCCAAAGATTTCTTTCTCTAGCTGCATAAATCTAGCAGCAGAAACAAAAATTATATCTCCTTTGCCAAGAGAAAAGGAAAGGGGAATATAGAAACATTATCACTTAAGTAGCTTTACAACTCAAAGTGGGATTATACCTCTGTAATCACAACCCTATTCGCATTAGTGAATGCAGTAGCAAAGTCATCTTTCAATGCTGCTAGGCGACTGCAAATTATGAAAATTTCAAGCATTGTGCAATCAATGTAATTGTAATTTGGAAGGAGAATACTTTCAGGTACATACCTGTAAGTATGAGGCTGAAATATTACTATAAGTTCTTGAAATGGAAATATCTGGCGTGCTGCCTGAAGAACAGCTTGAATCTCGGTGGGATGGTGAGCGTAGTCATCATAAATATGGCACCCGCGTACAGTACCTATCTTCTCAAAACGTCTGGAAACACCTCTAAATATTTGCATGTGAAGCTTCAAATAAGCCATGGAACTAAGAAATTTTTTCTGATCCGCAAAAAGAGCATGGATAGTTGCAATGACCTGCAGGTTGGAATGTCCACAGCAGCAACAGAACAAATCAAACATTAACTTCACTTGGAGTGGACGAACGAATGAATTTGCATGCTACAACATGTTTTCTTCTAATACAGATGCCTAAACTATAAGATAATCTTGAGCAGCCAACAAATTATTCTCCATTTTGGGGACCATCAAGTTCGAATTAAATCAAAATTGATTAGCTGTACTGGCATTGTTTATAGCCAAAAATATTTGAGTAAAGGTCATAAAGTAAAATAAAAAGAAAAGAAGGAAAAGAGTTCTGCAACTTTTAAATGTCGACTTACACTAAAAAAATAAAAAGATAAAAATGTTTGCTTACTGCTAATGAATTAAGAACATTGTGGACTCCAGGAATCTGTAGGCTGATGTCCGCAATATGATGTCGCTTGTGAAACTGAATAATGAAATAAGATCTTTAAGCAACCATCCATGCACAAATATAAGAGGTATTCCATATGCCAGTAACTTCAAATAACTACAGGGGGTAGGTATAAATAGAAGACAGCAAAAACTTTATTCTCCATACCGTTATATTTTGGTATTTATCTGCAATAATATTGTGCAACATACAGAAGTTGCAAGACTTCAACTTCGTCAACAGAAATAAAGTTAAATTGAAAATTACCCCATAAAACAAAATTTATGCACAAGACCAAGAATCTATTTGTTTGGTAATATTCATGTTAATATATAGACTTTTAAATTAACCTACATGCAAATCTGAATTGCCCAAAATCAAATCGAGAAAGTATAATTGCTCTTTCAGTTGATGTGACAGTGCTGCAAAATTCAGGACACAGTCTAATTTTCTATGACTGAGATTCTTTAATATATTTGATCTAAAAAGTTCCAGTTCACAACTGACAATATTTCCCATATAGTTTCTAAATATACAATATCTTTTCAAAATTTAAGGGAGCATTTGGTATGACAGAAAACATTTCTTTCCCCTTCCAGGAAATGACTTATTTTCTGTTTTTTCTGGAAAATGTTTTCTGGTGTTCGGTGTTTGGTCGGACAGTAGAAAATTTAACTCTTCAATCCTACTTTACTGTATTCCAAATTGCATAGGTTTTTCGGTATGGAAGGAGCAAGAAAGGAGCTTATTTCCCAAATGTTCACTTTATTTTGTGAGGTGATGCATTCTCTCATAATCTTTTGAAGAAACAGAAACAGAAACAGAAATCAGGAATTGTTTTGAATTGGACTCTCCAGTTAGTTTCAGAGAGGAAGACAGAAGTTATGATATGCACTTTATGTTAAGCTTCTGTAAATTGTTCTTTCACTTTCTTGAAAAGTGAATTTATGGATCATGCAGCAAGAGTTGCCAACTCAAGTACAAAGCAGGAGTAGAATATGTGAAGCATTTTCATCTCCTTAGTCATAAGCTATCCACAAGTTCCCTGTATGTTATTGTCAAATGATACATCGAAAACTTATGAATGTATTTCAGTTTTACATGAAACTAGTATGTTTCATCTCTGGACGTGATAAAGGAATCAACTCTAGAATCTGACAACAAAATTAGAGATAGAGCGAAAATGGCCTAAAACGAGTGCTTCTGGAAGGGCAGAGCTAAGAACAAATGTACTCACCAGCTTATAGTCACTACCTCCACAACAGTTTGGGGATATTGATAAGGGATGCCAATCGTTACAACTAGAAATTCCATAAGTTGAAATCTGGAATGCATCATTCCGAAGAATTGAACTAGGATCAGAGTCTGAGTCCATTTTGTTGACCAAAGAGCATGCACCTAGACTGTAATCACTCAATCAGAAAAGTATTATTGGCAACTACATTGGACAGGGAAATTCAATATTTCCTTCTTTAGCCTCAGAATTAGATCTATTTGCACATTCTATAACTAAAGATAATAGAAGCCACCAAATAATAGTTCATAAAAAATATATGGTCGTGGGTTAATGTTCCACAACCATATATCAGTAATAGAACGATCAATGTATCAGAGGAAAAACATAATGAGTTCACTTTTCTGGTCGTGGGTTAATGTTCCATATCCTCATGATGCAGCAACCACAAGTTGGTTGGGACATATGATTCTATAAGAACCATAGTCAGCGAACACTGCTTAGAACATGAGGACCCTTAATATCTTCATAATAGTGATTTTACAGGCCAATGACCAACGAAGTAGTAGCAGGTGCTTAAAAAGAAATATGGCATAGTGATTGTCCTCCTTCAGGATATGTTTCCTATGAAGAGTGAGTAAAACATTTGTGGAAAAATCTTCAACAAATTTCTGTTTAAGCAAGAAAACTTTGTTGCTAAATCCATTCAATCCATGAAATATATCAACTGTGGGACAAAGTTAGCACTACATACCTATCACCGCATAAAATTAAATGTCCTCCGACCTTTATCTGCCCTATGAACTTCCGGAAAATAGTTTTAACTGCTTCCTGATATAGAAAAAATCAGGTGATTTTCCGGAGACAATAATTTAAATTTAAAATACTTGGTTAATACTATAACAAGTGAATCACCGACCTCATCTTGGAAAATGTCTACATGCTCCCAATCTATATTTGTTACCACAGCTATCCGAGGTGTTACTCCAAGGAAGCAACAGTCATACTCATCAGCCTACATTGAAAAGCCCAAAGATCCGACTTACAGGAATAACAAACTATGATAATCTTGAGTGACTCCTATAATTTTACAAACTAAAACCAACTCATGCAGATTAAAAGACACAAGAATAGAGGAGTAACAGTATTGGATACCTCCAATACAAAGTTGCCACCAGTTCCACAGATGATGTTTCTTTCAGCAAGCTGCAGAAGACAGTTATGTCAAAAGTAAGTTTTGCATGTAAATGAAAAATATCAGAGTGGGATACATATGCTCTAATGTGAACAAAAAACAGTTTTGCAAACACCATTGACAAACTCCCAACGAGCATAAAAAAAAAAAAGGCAGCCCGCTGCACAAAGCTTCCCGCGTTCATATGCGGGGTAGGGCCGCACCAAAAGGGGTGTGATGTAGACAGCTTATCCTAAAGCAAACATTAGTGGCTGCTTCCACAGCTCGAACCCGTGACTCTATCGGTCACACGGAGACAACTTTATTGTTGCTTCTAATGGGCATATCTGGAGAAACTTTGCACAGAAAGCATAGTAGTACAAATTCACTTCTAAGAGGAAGAGACAGAGTAAACCTACCTGTGGCACCCAAGCCCCAATTACAGCTGTAAGATCATTGCCCATTGCATTTAAGACATAAGCAAGCATACTAGCTGTGGTACTCTTCCCTGCATTGGTCAACATATTAGCAGAAAGCAGGAGAAGTAAATATTGGTGGTAAATATCACATGATCAGAGTAGGTCAAAGTCATTCTGACCAGACTAAATAACAGAAAATATTAATGGTCCAAAGGCCTTGAACAATCGGTCTCAGCTGATAAATATCATATATTCAGAGCCAAACATTGATCTGGCATTACAAGTCCTATCCATGCACTCACAACATGAATGTTTACCTATTATTTGAATATGTTTTTGCTAATAACATATTTTTCGTTAGTAACAAATGTTTTTGCTAATTACATAATATAGAGAGCAGGCATGACCTCCAGATATTAGCAACCTACAGTATAGGTGCCTAGAACTCTCCTCTTCCAAATGTTGCCTAATCCTTGTCGTCTTCTCCTTTCTTTCTCAGAAAAACCCCCAATCGGTGGTGTTGCTGTTCCCCCCTTCCGGATACTCTCTGCCTTGAATCCTTCTTCACACCTAATGCTTGTGCAAGACACTTGTGTATGCAGTTTCCACAGATCATATCGCTAAGCCAATAAAGCAGAAAAGTTTCAAGGTTTGGCAGAGCTGATTAACACAAGCAAAATGGTTTGTGCTACAAGCGAACTAGTGAAGTTCGTCATATTTCAGGCTTCTTCAGAAATACAAGATTACATCGCGATTATAGTCAACATCTCATAAAAGGATCAGTTTGGTAAATAAGGACGTTCACATTGTACATAATTACAAAATCCTCATGCTTTTAGAGCAACTGATTCACCCAAGAGAAATGGCTAGTACAGTGTATATCAAACCTCAGCAAACTTTCCACATTTTTTTAGGCTTCCGTGTAATGCAAGCAAATATTGAGAATATTTTCACGATCTCAGAACTTGGCCACGTTTAACAAAGCTCAGACATAGAAAAGACTTTGTCACGTATTAATATCTCAGCAAACACCAAAGAAATACGATTACCATGGCTCCCACTGACAGCAATGAGGTTGTAGCTTTCAGTGATCCTGCCCAACCAAGCTCCTCGCTCGTACCTACAAGAACAGAGCACCATGTCTACTATCTGAATTTATGTGTAACTTGGATAATGGAAGTACAATCAAATAATTAAGATCACTGTACTCACACAGGTACTCCAACAGACTCGGCATATAAAATCTCGACATTGTCTTCACAAATCGCGCTCGACACAACAAGGGCATCAGGCATCGAACCGTTATGCTTTCTCAAACTAAGCTCAGAATGGCCTGTATACACTCGGGCACCGGCTTCTCGCAATGCGTCCATGGCTTTATTCCACATTATATCAGAACCGCTGACCTCGTAACCCTAATGCATTTCAAATTTAGCTTAGTTTTATTATACCTACCAGAACATTAGGTGAAAATGGAAGAAACAAAGAAAAGTAATTGTATTATACTAACACCCAGCTCACTAATTCAGCCGTCTAAATAACAAAGGATAGTTTGATTCACATAGTAGCTACGCTGGAACTCTACTAGTACATATATTGTCATGCGGTGAATAGTAATGTAAGGATTGTTATTTGTTGAAGAATAATGTATGTCGTAAATCAAATGTTGTATTAGACTATTAGTTATGAATCATGAGCAATTTTACGCCGAGATTATTTCTATTCCTGCAGCCAACGAAGTGATCCCTAAGAATTTAGGGAGGTGTGACCAGCTATTTGTGCAAATGAAAATGTTACTTCATCCGACCAAAAATAAGACAGGGTTTTGTAGTACCATAGTTAAATTATCCAATTCAAACATGATTTCACAATTAACACTTCCGAAACTCCATAGCAGGTAACATTTCAACTTTTTTCTACTTACAAACATTTAAAAAGTGCTCTATAAAATTTTCGTAAAAGCAGCTTGTCACCAAATATATAAATAGTGAGAGAGAGAGAGAGAGAGAGAGTACTTGTTTTAGAGCAAGCATGGCGAGAGCGGACAAACCACAACCTCCGACTCCGACAAAGTGTATCCACTCCTTCTTTTTCCGCTCGCTTGCATCAATCGCTTCACAATTTTCGCATTCCTTGATCACTGCAGGGAATTTCAAAGCAAGGGAAGCTGTTCGAACATAATTTAATTTGCGACGCCGAAGAAGCATTTGGCCGCGATTTGTGAGCATAATAGCTGGAGAATAACTGAAACATTTTGCCGGGTAATTCAACGGTGATTTTACCGCCGGCGGTTCCATTTTTTCATGGTTTAGGAGACGTGGCGATACTTCGCGGCTCAAAGCAAAGTCGTCACCCCATGTTTAGTAATTCAAATTTTGAACTCCCAAGACAGCNCCTCCCCCCGCCCTGCGTAGCTATTTTTTTCTTCATTTTTTTTTAGTTTTATATGTTCTCTTTTTATTTTTGCTTTTTAAATACTTTATATTATATTTTCTTTGAGGCCAAAATGCAAAAATTAAGATCTGCCATCTATGGGGTCATATGAAATAATTGACCAATTAAACATATTGTATAGTTATAGGCTATATGATATAACTATTTAAAACAGAATTATTTACTTAATTAGTAGTAAATAATTTTTGGTCAATAATATCCCTCTACACAATAACATTGTTGTTGCTTCTTGAACAATAGAAGAACATCGTAGAGGCGATTTGGGAGAGTTGAGCCCACAATCTTATTTTAATCTTTTGGTCCTTCTTTTATAATTTTCCCTCAATAATAATAGTAATAACAATGACAACATATATGATAACCTATATTGTGATAACCCAATCTGCCTGTAATGTGTTTGCTTTAGGCATAGGACCACACAATTTTAAAATTGTCACTAGAAGTCTAATTATATTTATTATACAACAAAGATGTTCATTATGATGACCCGGCTGGTCGTTTTAAGAATTTAGGCCCCGATCCTCCATTAACTGCTTTCCCCGAGATTATTTCTGCTATTTTGATTTGCCGGGATGTTCGATTTTGAGTTTCGGAGAGTTTTGGGACACTTAGTCCCTAAATGAGAGCTTAAGTGTTGGAAAATTGACTGTAGTCGGAACAATGTGAAGACGGCCTCGGAATGAAAATCCGATAGTTCCATTAGCTCCATTGGGTGATTTTGGGCTTAGTGCGTGTTCGGATTGTGTCTTGGAGGTCCGTAGCTAATTTAGGCTTGAAATGCCGAAAGTTGAATTTTTGAAGTTTCCCGTTCGATAGTGAGATTTTGATCCGAGGATCGGAATGGAATTACGGAAGTTGAAGTAGCTCCGTAGTGTTTAATGTGACGTGTGTGCAAAATTTTGGGTCATTCGGACGAGGTTTGATAGACTTTTTGATCGGAAGCGTATTTTTTAGAGTTTTTGGAACTCTTAGGCTTGAATCCGATGAAAAATAGGTGTTTTGATGTTGTTTTGGGCGTTCCGAAGGTTGGAACAAGTTTGAATGAAGTTATGGGATATGTTGGTAGGTTTGGTTGAGTCCCGGGGGCCTCGGGATAATTTCGGATGTTTGACGGAAAGATTTTTGGAGTTGGAGTTGCAGCTTCAGCTGTTCTTCTGTCATAACCACACCTGCAAGTGTGAGACCGCAGGTGAGGAGCCGCAGAAGTGGAATTGGGGGAGTTCAGCAGAGACCACAGAAGTGGTAGAGTTTCCGCAGGAGCGGTACCACATCTACGGAAGAGGAGTCGTAGATGCAGAAGATGGGTTTAAGTGAGAAGTCGCAGATGCGACAAGTGTTTTGCAAAAGCGGGACCGTAGATGTGGTCCCTTTATCGCAGATGCGGTAATAGCTGGGCAGAAATATGAAATTTCGAGGGTTTAGTTTTAAAAGTTGGAAATTCAATTTGAAGCTCGGGAGAGGGCGATTTTGAGAGGAGATTGAAGAGGAGATCAGTGGGTAACAATTCTTTAACTCTTTCTAGTTATATTCCATCAATCTATAGTTAGTTTCATCATTTAATTTCGTATTTGAGATGAAAATTGGGGAAAAATTGGAAGAAAGTTCTTAGACCTAAAATTCGACTTTTGATCGGAAATTTGACCTTAGATTTGGATAATTTTGGTATGCATGAACTCGTGAGGGTATGAGAATTCTGAAAATATAAATTTTACCCGATTCTCAGACGTGGGCCCGAGGGGAATTTTGGTCATTTTACCTAATTTCGCGTATTAGCTTAGAATTTCTTTGTAGAATCAGTTACTTAAAGTGTTATTTACATTATGAAATTGAATTGAATAGATTTGGGCCATTTGGAGTCGAGTACTCGTGGCAAGAACATGGTTTCGAGTTGATTTTGAGCCGGTTCGAGGTAAGTGGCTTGCCTAATCTTGTGTGGGGGACCTTTCCCCTTAGGATTTGGTATATTTGGTAATTGAAATGCCTTGTACGTGAAGTGACGAGTGCGTACTTGTGCTAATTGTTGGAAATCCGGTTTTCATTAAGTAATTACTAGTATGTTTCCTTTCCTGTTTTTATTACTCGCACTATTAAGCCTGTTGTAGCTTAGGAAAACATGTCTAAGTGATTTAATTGTTTTATTTGCTCAAACTGCCTTACTTGAATTTTGTGCAGCATGCTAGGCTAGAATTAGTTGTTGCCTTAATATGAAATTTGCCATTTCTGAATATTTTCCTGTTGCTGCTGTGTATTTACATTGGGACTACGGATGTGAGATTTCGGTAGACCCCCCTTGTCTGTTTATTTGGGACTACGGATGTGGGATTCCGGTAGACCCCCCCTTGTCTATTTATTTGGGACTACGGATGTGGGATTCCGGTAGATCCCGCTGCACAGTTATATGAAACTACGGGACTGCACCCGGTAGATTTCCCCAGTACTGGGTATTTATATTTGGGACTACGGATCAGGATTTCGGTAGATCCCCGCGCACTGATAGTTGGACTACGGGACGGGATCACGGGAGATCCACTGGATAGATGTAATTGGGACTACAGGACGGTATCCTGGAAGGTACCCCGATTGTTATCTCTGTGTTGAGTTGTATTACCTTCCGTAATTATTTTGCCTCTGTTCTAGTTGTTGTTGCTCTTTCTATTCGCTGTTATTTCATAGTTGCACCTAATTATATTGTCTTGTTCTACACGGTTATACTTTGTATTTTATTTAACCTCAGTAGGGCCCTGACTGTCACGACCCAAACTGGAGGGCCATGACTAGCACCCGACCACACTTGCCGAGCACCAACGTACATTTCATCTAACCTTCATTATTATCTTTTAGGACTGACGAGATCAATATAAATGGTAGACCTGGATCATGGACAACCAACAATAAAATATGACGGCATGAACATACATAGCAGGGGATGACCAGACAATCAAGAAACTACATATAAGGTATGAGCTACCACGCTACTATGAAAGACTATACAACAAAAACTAGCCGA